GCAAAACAAGAATTAGTTTCAAATCTGAATTTGCTTTAAAGTGAAGAAAAAGCACAATTTAGCAGTGAATTGTTACAATGGCTGTTGAAATTAGGGAGATTTTCATTCCTGGTGTGTGTGCATCAAGACAGGATTATTTTTTAAATTTATTTTTTTTTTTAGCTACATATGTTTTAGTCAAAATAATAGTATTTAGGCAGATACTCTCGGTTTAGTGTCAGAAGGGACTATGCTTGCTTCCAGCCTGGTCTTCAAACTCTTGGAAGTGCAGCAGGCTCATTTCTAGTTAGGGACGTGTATTCTGTATTTGCGAGGGCTGATATCAGTAGCTGCAGCTGAAGGAAGGAGAGCCCCCAAATGTTAATCCTTCTGAGAGCGGGCGGTGGGAGCCGTGTGAGGGGAATCCAGCACTGGCCCTGCCAGCCAGAGGGGCTGACTGGCAGCCTTTGCTCGGGCCAGAGTTTGGTTAATCTTAGCAGAAAGGGGAAAACCGTTCTGCATGTCCAACTGGAAATTCCCCTTAAGATGGGAGGGGACAACACCAGACCCAAACAGTATCTGCCGTTTGTGAGATGCTCTGAACTTGGAGCGTGTTGCTCTCTGCGGGTCCCTGGCAGCAGCAGGGGAACCCAGCACCAGCCTCAGCCAGGGGAGCGCGGTGTTGTTCACTGCTGCTACACAGCACAAGTAGAAACTTCCATTTCTCAATGTGAAGACAATTTTGACTTGAGTGGGTGTTTTGTGTAAGGATTTTTTAATTTATTTTTTTTTTTTACAGTCTGCCAGTCGTGTTTTATCTTAATGGGTGACTGACAGATGAGAGACAGAGCGGTCATACTTCTCTAAAGCTTACAAAAGCATTAAACAGCTGTTAATCGTGTTCTCTTTCTGAATGACAAACATAATGCATAAGAGATTGGAATGAGGAGTTCGTTGTAGCTGTACAACGTCTTTTATTAATTTTTTTTTAATTAAACTGGGCATAATAAATGACTAGGTTACAAGTCAGTAATACAGTGGGGAGGGAATGCATTTTCTTTTCATGTACTTTAAAAAACATCTTGAAATTAAGGCATGCTGGGAGAGTTGTGGGAAATGCAACGCCCACGTGCTGGATTGTATCACTTGATGCTGCTGCGAGGGAGATGAAGAGCCTCCGGGTGCCACTGGCAGCCGCTGCCACCCACTCCTCTGTGAGGCCCCGTTGCAGCGCGATTGAGTTTTGCTCGTTTTCTGTGTTGGGCTGTGCGCTGCGGGGGGCTCGGGGTTCATCGTGTGTGGCTGCAGGAGCTGCTTTCCCAGCAGAGAGGAAACTCGTGGGTGAGCTATGAGTGCCCCAAGGTCTCAGATCCCAGGGTCAGCATGTCCTGCCAGCAACGGTAGCTGTTAAGGTTACTAGTACAACATTGTCGTGGCAGGATTAAATATGTGTTTTGCCAGAGAGTTAAGAGGATTGTGGGTTGAGAGTTTGTGTTTAATCTCTAATAGTGGCAGGAGTTTGGGGGTAGATGTTTTTAAACAGAAATAGAAACCAACAAATGCAGCGTGGGCTGCTGAAGTTGTAAAGCAGGCTGTGTTATTAGCCACGGGAGGGTTAAACAGTTGAACAATATCGACTGTTTCACTCATAAGTGATAATTAGTTTGTCTTTTTATTACTGACTCAATTTCTGCTGCTGGCTCAGGCTTTGCTGTTACTGTCAATGACATTCGGCCGTTCTGAACATGGGCACACCTTGCCCAACTGTGAGAGCTGCTGGTGGGGCCCAGAAACCTCCTGCAAGAGCACAGAGGGAATGAGCAGGTAACAAGAAAGGCTCTAAAAGACAGAAGACTTTATTCATTGGCAGAAAAATCCTTTTAAAGGAGTTTCTTCCCTTCCCAGCCATGCGTCAGGAACCTCTGACAGAAGGGGTCAGGATGCTGTATATTAAGAAGCTGTAGCCTCCTCTGCCCTCCAATTACCACTTGCATTTACAGTGTAAATTTAATGAAGTTAATTACATCTACTCAAAATCTTGATTGTGTGAATTACTTAGATCTTTCAAAATAGAGAAATAATTTCTTGCAGGGTTCACAGGCTTTTTCTTCAGGCTTGGTTGGTTGATTTGCTTTATTGTCCCCATGATGCATGAGCTGCACTTTTTAGGGCAATACACGGTGTCCAGTTGAGATTAAGGACCACTGCAATGTTCAAAGCAGAAGTGCTAAAATAATTATAAAAATACTATCAAGAGACTAATTTCTAACAAAGGTGAAAAGGATGATGGATTCAGAGAGTTAAAATGTAAAGGAAGGGAAGGTGCTTAGAGGGTAGAAATATATCGTATCGTGAGCAAAGAAAATGTCTAATGTGCAGCTTGTCTGACAGTCTTTTACTTGTTCACTTTGGTGTCATCATTTTCAAAATGCAGGAGTTCAACCCAAGAATTTTAGGGATATGTTTACATGTTAAGGCAGGGGGGGGAAAAAAGGGCAGAGAATAATCTGTGTGATCAAAACATTTAAAAGTAGTATGTTATGCAGCGTATAATATTCAAGATGAAGACTTCAAAGGATGTTTGGAGAGATCAAACATACATGATTGTGAGGCTTTAACTGATAATTATATTTTGAAATTACCTGAAATGTCAGGTTGACATTAAATACAAGCCTAAAGTTAAGGCTGGGGCAACACTTAGGTGTCCAATTGAGTTTTCACTGAATTGCATGTTGGGTTAAGAAAACGTTTAAGGAAACGTTTCTGCAGATTTAAATTAAAACTCTTTATTGGTTTGTGGTTTTTGTGTTTGGGATTTTTTGAAAAAAATTAAAAATGAAATAGAAGTTTTTTATCTGGAAACACTCCACATGTTCTGTATTGATTGAAACGTGCATTTTTCTGTAATACTCATTTACTGCAGTGCCCTGGGCTTGCACCTGGCCTGTGCCTCCTGTGACACCCCGTGAGCAGGACCTTGCAGGCTGTCTCTGTCCCTGTGTCTCCTGAATGGCAGAATGTGCTGTGCTTTGTGAAATGTGATTCAAAAAGATCCTGGTTTATGTAGAAAAGAGGGTGATGTCTACATTACTAGAGCTTTCCTAAAATATTGTAGCAGTGTTTTCAAATGGAAAACTTCAGACTTTTTTCTATTAAAGAATTTATGTTTTGATTTTTCCATCAAGAAAATTCTATGTCTTATGGCTTAGAAGTTCTCATTATGCACGAAAGCAATTCTAGCAGAGATTCACTGCCCAGGAGAAAAGCCGAAGCATCACACAGATGATCCCGATACAGACAATTACCCCCACAACACATGCAGTGTGGCAATAGGGGGTAAAGCATGACATGAAGGCTCACGTGGTGGCCCAACAAACATGAAGAACAGCTGGATTTTGAACAGCCATATTATCCAGGCATTTAGATAGAGCTTTCTGAACATGCACGCTTGAAAAACCAGTTTAACAGCAACACGTGCTGGCTGAGCAGAGTCAAGCAAGTAACTGGGCGGGCGTTGGAAATCCTTCAAGGAAACAAATGTTCTCGGCTAATGATACTTCTCTGGGGCATCAGGGATGTGAGGTGTCCTTCAGAGCTGCAGGCCTGCAGATGGCATTCCTTTTGTTAATTACAGCATCCTACCAAAGGAAGTCAAACTTCGATTTCAGAAAACCTGTGACATTAACTTCTATTTTTTTGGCTTGTCTTGGGCTAAGTTGGTAGAGGAACTGTCTGAGGTTCAGATTCTTTGGTGTCCAGCACAAGGAGCTGAGTGAGGATCACTAAGAGCTGTTGCAGTAGGAGCAAAGTGGTGTCTCATCCTCTAAAACTGCATTTTAGTAGAATGTATGCTCTGAAACCCCCATAAAACACACATGCAGACAAAATATTTAATGCGACTACTGGTTAAACTGCTCTGATGACAGGAGTCGTTGGTGTAAAGGGAGGGCTTCTCTGAAAATTGGCAGTTTGAGGAGGAATCGGAATTGTTTGTTAGGTGAGTTATGATACGGATGTGTTCTTTGTGCTTTGAGTAGTTCCTAGTTTCATCTAAACGTTGGAAATACTGTGTGTTTGTCATCATTTAATTGCTTTTATTATGTCCTGCTAAGAACATGGAAGCTCTTTGTTTTCTGTTTGTTGCTGCGAAGTTGTTTCAAGTTTTACAATTTCACAGACACAGACTGGATCAGTGGTTTTTTAATTGTGTATATTTATGATTTTGTTGTTTTACAACATTCTGAAGGTTAAGCCCCTCAACTGTCACCATTCTCCTGTTTGCTCCTGGTGGAAGCACCTTAGCAGCAGCGAGTAAACTGCTGGCAAAAGGGGTTGCAGCACTAAAATAAAGTTGTTTCTAATCTAAGTGCTTCTCAGTTGAGAATCACAGTATGAAGAAGAAAATATTCAAGGAATCAGTCAGTTGTAGCTTTCTTCTAATGCGCTATGTTTACAACCTCTGACAATTTGAGCTGAGCACAGCAAAAACCTGGCCTAATTGCAAGGACTGCAAAAAAATGCTTGTCCTTTTTTCCCCTTTTTCTTGAGCATGAAACTCATATCTGCGTTATGAAAGGAAACAGTAACAGTGCTGTGTCTATGCTCCTTAAGTGGTTGGAAAAGAATGTGCAAGTCCAGATTTTTCTTTGGATCTACCTAGACTTCAGATCATGCACTGGAGCACATTCCCTGATGCTTCTAGTTCTAAAGGGAGTGCTGCCGTTTTGATGATACTTTTATTAACACTTTTCACTTCCAAGATTATCTGTAAGGTTTTGGGTACAATCCTGTGCAACAGCGTGCCAAGAGTAGTCCTTCATAATTCTGGTGTGTAAGTATAAATAACATGGGATTTCATAGTGTATCTATAATTCATATCTGCACCAAAGTGTTTATGGTTTGAAAGAGGTATGTGTTACCTCTGTGAGACTGCATGTAAATATATATATTTAGGCAACTTCTATCTCTTTCCCCAACATTGCTGAGTTAACTTGTAAAATACTGTTGTTTTTTCATCCTAGGTCTGAGGGTAACTGTGTTACTAACATCATCTCTCATGGTGTTGGGAGCTGGCCTGAGATGTGTTCCGGTTTCAGACATAGAAATTAGAAAGAAGTAAGTGAATTAGTTATTTTATTTTTATGTATATATATATATGTAAAACTTTCTGCTAATGCAATTTTTGCTGCTACTGCAAAGAAATTTTCTGTATGAATTTGATACACCAAGCATTTGTTGTGTGGATGTGAACTCACATGCTTCTTCGCTTCTTACATGGATTTTTCTGATCCCTCCTACATAGTATGTGAAGCCCTTTACAAACTTCAGTTAAATAAGTCTTACACCACCCTGACTAACTAGTATGAATCTGCTTTGCAAACAAGGAAGCAGAGATTTAGAGAGGTTCAGAAACTGGCCCCAGATCACACAGGGAGCCATCCCACAAAGCTCCAAAATATGTAATTTGTATGCAAATATTAATTAGTTCATGTTTCTCATATTGTGTGTGATCGTGCGGTGAGACAGATGAATTCACACAAAATGGCCTTTTTCACATAGACTTTTCCAGTCTGCATTCCAAAGTTGTACTTTGTCTGTGGTTGAAGTGCCGTCTGTACACATGCCATTTCAGAGTTTGTCATAGGGACAGATTCCTTCCTAAAAATCTCACAGTCCAAGCAATTCAGTCGTTTCATCAACATATCCTGAACCTGGGAATCCTCAGTAAGTACAGGAGTTGTGCTTGTTTTCTACAGCCAGGTAATATGGGTCACTTGCTGTTCGTTTTCTTCTGCCTCTCTCGCTGAAGGAGGAAGGAGTTACAGGCATTACATTTTTCTACTTGTTTAAAAATTGTAGTTGCACTACCACTTCACTAGGTGTGCTTGTGTAGTATGTAAGCATTAAGAAAGTTTTTATGTCAAGGCAGTCTGTGTAAAGTTCCTTTTTGTCTCCTTAGTATTTCTTACCCTGAAAATTAGCTTGGAAACCTGTAAATTGAGAAAGGGGATTGGGAATGTAATAAACATATTGTTAAACTAGCCCCGATTGGGAGTAAGTAGCTAGTATGTAATCAATGGCTTACTAATCTAAATGCAGTGTGATGAGTAGGGGGGATGCAATTTCAGCTCTTAGGTGCTTAGTGGGAGTATCTGGAGGCACCTGAGGTGCTCCTGATGTTAGCTGCCCGTTTCGGTGTGGTGAGCAAGGACTTTGTGAGCAGAGGAGGCTGAACTAACCATCTCATGCTACTGTTCAGTGTCCCTTTTAAGGTGAAAATGTACTATTAAGATGGCCAGGAAGAGCTGTCCTGTGCCCTTGTTTTACCTTTTATCAAGATGCTAAGAGGTGCTCAACATCCAGTTCATCTACTCTGACAAGTCTTGGATTATATATGTCTTTTAAATGGGCCACATGGCTTAAATGAAATCAAATGTGGTATGTTACGTAGCTTTTCATTTATGATTTCTGACAATAGACTTTTGCTGCCCTGGGCTTTACCACCAAGGATACAGACTGAGAAGAAATTGCCAAATGAGATTTAGACGTGAGGTGTCATTTGGGGAGTGGGAGGGAGAGTTTCCACATGTTCTGATCACCTTTAAACAAGATTTTCCAGTGTAACTTCAGTGAGGAAACCTAGGAGGACAATGAAATAGATGCTTAAGGAGAAACATTTAAAGAGCAGCGTCTTTAACTAGAGAAAGAAATGCTGTGGACTATGTAGAGTCTGATAAATTTGCTTACTAGAATTGCAGCTCTACCTGGGGAAGTAGTTTGATCCTTGAAGCAGTTTGATTAAAAATCTACGAAGAATCAATTATAGTTAACTGTATGAAACAAAAAGATGGTTTTCAGTGAAGGTTTCTTGTAAATAATTGTGATGTTATACTGCATTATTTTGAGGACTAAGACTGAGGGCCAGTCTTCATCGATTAGTTGAAGCATGATACTAAATAAAAGAATAATTTTGAGAGGAGTATTATTGCTTAATGCATTAGCAGCAACTGGCAGAGCACTGTGCTGTCCTCTTATTCTGAATGTGTATATACATTAATATGACAGTTTGAACATCACAGAGCCAGTCAGGTGGACAAGATCACACGTGAGCTGATATTGGAGTGTTTCAAAAGCCAGTATAACTGGAATTTCTTTAAATGCTTTTGGATGTTTTGTAATGTGTTCCTTCAGGCCCTGGTGAATCTGCAGTGCTATACTGCAGGATTTCCATGGGACAATTGTGTCAGAGTTAGCATACGTGAAATTATGGGAAGATTCATGAGGTTTGTCAGGTTTAGGTATTTTTTTCTACTTTGTAGCTGTCTCTACTCCCAAAGCTCTGGCGATTTAACATTAAGGAGAGCAACTAAAGCCCACTGCCTATCAGAGCAATCAGTATTAAGACTGACATTTAATCCTGACTGCCGTATGCTCCTTATCTCACACAGACCTGTAATACCCAAGCGTGTTCTTAAGCTGCTTTCTAGTCTTTATTTTTCCTTTTGGCTCTAGTGTGTAACAGCAGACTGAGACTCTTTCCAGTTTTCCAAGTCATGTTTTAAACACAAATCTCTGTTTTCAGTTCCTTTGATGCCCATATATAGTCGCGACTTGTATGAGGGAGAATTCAGGTTGCACATTTCAGTGTGTGTCTGGAAGCAGTTAATCCTTATGGTGAAGTTTTGTTCTCTGACAGTATGTGACCTAAAACCGTACTGGGAATCCATGCCAGAACAACATAAATTCAGTGAAGGCTGAAGCGTGGTGAAAGTGTGGAAGTATGGACTTGCATGTGAGATTAAGGAATCGGCCGATACAGGGACTACTGAAGCCCTTCTTGCATACACACATGCTTTTACTTGCCTGCTTACCTCCTCAGTCCACTAACCTGTGAGCTTAATGTGTGTATCATACAGGGAAGGTAAAAAAATAATTATTTTTTTCTGTACCATGCACTTCTGGGTTTGTCAGCTGTTCAAGGTATGTGACAGTGAATTTGAATTCTAAAGATAAAGCCCCAAATTCCTTTCTAAATGTTACAAAAACCTCATTTGCCACACCTGTTTATTTTAGTTCACAATCATTATACAGAACATTAAAAAAAAAGACATTATCAAATTGTCCCATTCCTGATCTTGTACCTTCTTTCCTTCCCTGAAGGTTACAAGAGTATCACTGACGCTTTTTGCCTGCATTTTGTCCAGTCCTTTCCTTTTTGACTACTGCTTGGCACTGAGTGACTGTTTTCATTGGACTCTTCTAGAATTTACTTATTTTGTCCTGAATGTTAGCATTACTAGGAGGCTATTTTTTTATAGACAAAATCAGAATTAGTTCCCCCCCCCATAACACTTCTTATTTATCTCATATTCGGTGTTTAGGAATAGGTTTACGTACAGCTTAAGTCTTCTATATGCTTGTAAAAGAATAAATCTAGGCAAAGAGCTGTATGAGCTGAAATGTGTAAGAAAGAAGGAAATGAATGACAAAATCCGCCAATAGCTGTAAATCTGTGGCTTTTAAGACTGACTGTGTGATGTAAGACTTCTTAAAATGTTTTGGAAGACAGAATAATTAAAGACATAGAAGTAAAGGATGTAACATAATTTGTCATTTGTATTGAATATATTAATTAAGCAAATTCTTAGAACTTAGTATGCTGTGGGCAGATAGTGTTTGACCTTCACATGAGATTTCACAATGGAGAAGTAGTTGTTGAGGACCTTGAGTCACAACAGTGAGAGGACGTTCCATGGCCGTAAGTACCACTAAAGCATTTGTTGGGAAGCCAGCAAAACAGTGACAGAGAATGACAGTGGGAACAGGAGTGATTATTTACAGAGTCATTTATGGGGAACACACCGATAATTGGTAGATCCTGTGAAGGGTTTTTTTCCTTAGATAATACCATTTCTTAGGATTTTGATTTTTTTTTTTTTTTGCCTACTCTTAGGTATATTGATGTTAATTTTCCCTTTATTATATTTGAAGTTTCACTCTTACCATATCTTTGGAATGTTTCTCTTAGCTAGTTGCAGCTTAGTTTGTAATTTATTCTTGTTAGACTTACTCTGTAATAGTTCCACATTTTCTCTTTTTCATCCCTGAAGGCCTGAAGAATGGCATAGGATTGTCTGATCATTTGTCTTTCCTGATCCTAAAATGACCATGAGCCACCCTTCTCATGCATGAAAATGCAAAGGGGCACCTCAGAAGAGAGAGTTCTAGTAAAGACAAGACATATTAGGATTCTCATATTCCCTGGTAGCACTGAACACACTTCAGTGCTGAAAAAACCACCCCAAACTGGGGTGGCTGTGGAGAACAGGGATTAAAATGTTCCAAGGAAGGAAAACAGCCTTTTAGGAGAGAATGATAGAAGAATCCGCCTGTAGGATAGAAAGAGTCGTGCCTGTTGTGTGCTCCCTAACTCACTGGGGAGGAGAAGTAAGAAAAGCATTTAATGTAAGCCGTGGTTCTGGGAGTAAAAAGAGGAGTAAACATACCTATCGGTGTGCTGCGCCTCAGTGAGCGTAGGAGGAAGATGTCGAGGTGGAGCCCTGGCTGGGCGCTGCTGGCACTGCCTGCTTTGTGCTGGGAGAAGGCTGAGCTCAGTTCATCCGTAATATCAGGGTTAAGTGGGGAAAAAAGGAAACAGGTATTCATGGATAGGGTCTTGTGGGGAATATTTAAGTTTTATACTCCAGTAACTTAACAGTTCAGCTTTTTTTTACTACCTCTAGCAGCTTAACCTTGTACGTAGGTTTTGTTTTTAACCTCTGCTCCAAAGCCGTTGTTTTAGGAATGACTCACAGGAGCTCTCAAGTAAGTGGCCACGGGTTTTTTTCTTGCTTTACTAATTTGTTGGTGCTAACAGTGAATTTGGTGGATGATTAAGTGTCCCTTTGCCCGCCGAGCCTGCCTCTGCCTGAGCTGTGTGTTCTGTGGCAGCCAAATTGGCTTCTGCTTCAGCTCAAACAGCCTTAGTGGAAAAAGGAGGCGGCTCGATAGGTTCCCTCTTGCTCCTGCGCTGGATTTTGGCCCTGACGCTGTGGGTGTCCCCTGCCTGCCCCGGTGACAGGGGTAGCTGCTGACTTAGCAATTCACAGACTGTA